CACACACACACACACACACACACACACACACACACAGAAATTCACTGCTGCTTTAAACACATGCAGATATAAAAAACAGTTTTGATTCTTAAAAAAAGATTTTGCTGTAAAACAGCACAGATTTAAGTTTGTGTTATTTTAGTTTACAATGTTGTGTTTTCATTCAGAAAATAAATTTAGTCTTTGTTTGAAATGTTTAAACATCTTTAATCTAAAAGCTTTTAAGTATTTTTACAGTCATAGGTTTAGTTTTTTTTTTTTTGACTGGCCTACAGGGTGAACCCAGTTCTCACACTGCAGTATTGTTTTATTAATTCTACATTTGACAACAGAATAATAAGTGTCCTCACATTTTGTGAAAAACAAACCACATTGTTCACTAAAATAACTTTAAACTGACAAAGTTACAAAAAGAGAGAAATATTTAATGAAGCAGCTCAGTTCATGAATCATGTCATGTTTTAGTTTTTAGTTATTTTGCTCTGTAGGCATTTTGTAAAGTTGTGTCTGTGAAAGGTATAGAAATAAAGTTTACTTACTAAACATCAGTCTGCCTGTTTAATCCAATAAAAGTCCACCATAGTGAGACAACTGATATGTTGTCCCTTTACCTTTTCTGAAAGCAGTGTGAACATAAGAACATAAGGAGCACATGATGCAGCATAATGTTAGAAAGCTCAGACACTTGATCGAAGATCAACACTGAGCATTTGACAGTAAGATGACCACACGGTCCAGTCTGCTCCAGGAAAAGAAAAAAACCAGAGGAGCCAAGCCCTGTGCTCTAAGCCTCGTTTCCAGAAGGAGGTGTCGTGTCAGGAAAGTCACCTGTTTATCTGTCTAAATAGTTTTGTTACCTTAATTCTTTGCAGCTCTGCAGACAGATGTTGGATGTATTGTATTGTTTTCTTGACGTATTTCTCACATATCATCAATTCTTTCTTTCACTTTTTTCCATTACATTGTAACTTTTCTTTCCTTTCCATCTTTTTTCCTTTCTTTCTTCTTCTTTCTTGTCTATCAAAAAACACTGATGATGAAGAAACAAAGATACTAATATTTAGATATTTAGTACTGCTTTCTATTGAAGTGGTAAAAAAGAAAAAAAAAAAGGAAAGTCACCTGACATCAAACTGTTATCAGGTCCTCTTGCTGACCTGGATGAGAACTTCCTCAACGTTTGAACACTGGTAGTTATTTGTGCTTGAATTT